GTAATCGAAGCTGTAAATGGTTATTTTGAGGAGCTTGACGAATCAGTCTATAGAGATGGCATTAATAGACTGGAACACCGCTATGAGAAATGTATCAGCCTTGGAGGAGATTATGTTGAGAAATAAAAAAAAAATTTTTAAAAACCTTGTTTTTCTTGGTCAGGCCGGAAACTTATCAATCCACCCTCGTATCACCGTACATACTTAAAATTGCAGATTTTTCCCAAAACATGTGCAAAATATGTTTTTCAATCGCGTCTATCTGAAAACTCTTCTAAACTAAACGAACTATCAAAATCTTTTGAACAGGGTGTAACACCAAACACCCCGTTTTATTCAAAGTATTTGTTCGGTTATCAACTCGCCACTCCTGTATACATCTAGATCATACATTTTTGCACAAAAACCTATAAAACTTAATACAGTTGTATGATATGATAAATAACTGTTTGAGATTAAACAAACATCGGAGAGTTATCTGTTTAATACAGCAGATGTTTCATAAATACATAAATGTCGCTCTGCAATTCGGAAATTAAATACGACGGTTTACAAGGGAGTATCAAAAAATATTTATACAAAATACAGAGAATACTATAATTAGTATTACTGTTTCTTGTGAAAAAAAAGTAATTATTTGTTAATTTCCTTGTAGGAAACAATAAATTTACCAAACTGTATTGACGTCAACAAGACCTAATATGGCTTCTAAAGAAAATTGTGCATTTATTGATTCCGAAGATCGTGTATATTGGTGATAAAAATAATTGTCACATGGCATGTCAATTACTTAATTGAAAAGAGGGAAAACTAATTAATTGTAACTTCCATATTCTAAAAATACTTTTAAATAACACACACAGGGGATTGAGATCGATCGCGTTTTGTTTAATTATTAAATTAATTAAACAAGTAACAATTTATACTGGTAAATAATTAAAATTACAAATGATATAAAATATCGTTTATAATATAAATGGTTGGTGCATCGTAAATATTTTTTTTTTTTTGATATTACCCTGTATGTAACACGTAAAATGTGCTTCAAACAATTGGTGCACTAAACTTTACCTTTTATTGTTAAACAGTTTATCTCGTCGAGAGATTTAATCCAAAAGCTGTTGAAGTTTGTTTTGAGATAACTAAATTATTTTAAGGTAAATAAGCATCCAAAGCCAACTGGAGACTGATTTTTGTCAAATTTTGTTAATTAAATTAATTAGGAACATATACATTATTAACAAAAATTAAAAAGAAAATCTCATCCAGTACCTATTAAAAAAACAATGAAATTCCATATTGGGACACACTTTTGGAGAGAATTGAAAATAGTTTTTAGTAAGTTGAATATGTGGTTGAATATTGTACACCCTGTATCCGATGTTTTAGGTGGTACATACAAAATTTTAAATCTTTTTAAAGTTTAAGTTTGAATAAAAAGTATTTTTAATTTCTTTTCCCCACATTTAGTGTGTACTACGTTATTTTACGACTTCTTTGCAAAACATTTACACAAAATATTTTTTTGCAAGATTATCGTCCAAAATTATCACACATTTAACAGACGTATAGAAATGTGCCAAAAGTCCGATCACCGGCTGTAAACAACATTCATAAATTAGTCCCCATTTAAAAAAAAAAAAATCACCGAAAAAGACCTTAAACAGATAAGTAATTGACATGACCTTCGTTTTCGCGACCTTACTGTTTTTGTGTAACTTTACGTATTATTTCACCCTTACCTTGACACTCATTTTTTCGGCCGTTTTTTATACAAACGAAAACACTAATTAATTATTATTAGTAATTACGGGTTCGCACAACAACAAACTTTGATTCGGGGTTTACAAATTACATTTTCTCGCATCGTAAACAACAACAACAACAACAACACTACAGTGCCGACGCCCTTGCGACGCTCGTAGCTATCATAGCGGACGCCAAGCGTCGAATACATTTGCAAAGACGTCGTCGATTATCGATTGTCCGACTATACAGTTCGTTTTATAATAATAATAATAATAATATCCACACACACATATATATATATATACGTATGTATGTATGTATTTTCTAAGTCTACAAACGGGAATCAGAAACTTCGACTTCGATTTTTAACACTTTTATTATTGTGTCTATTTCGTACAACACACAAGACAATCTTGGGATGGCTAGATGATAAGGAGATAGGACGGAAAAATGATAATGATAACGCTGTGCACGTTATTGTACAGGGTGTTGCACCTAAGTCGTCCATAACTCGATTATTATACTTTTATTTAAAAAAATGTTTTTATGAAAGTAGGCTAGAATTATACGGTGCATACACAGGAAATATTTTTAATCATACAGGGTGTTCTATTTCTTCTGGACGCCACCTAACTTGGTTATTTTTAATGGAACACCCTGTATATTTTTACAAATTTAGCTTCCTTTTTTAATTCTAGGTCGATTTTATTAACAGTTCCCTGCACCTATCTCTAGTAGTTTTCGAGATATTCAACAGTTTTTGAAACCATAAATATAAAAATATACAGGGTGTTCCATTTAAAATAACGAAGTTAGGGAGCGTCCAAAAGAAACGGAACACCCAGTATAACTAAAAATATTTTCCGTGTATGCACCATGTAATTCGAGTCCACTTTTATAAAAACATTTTTTTTATTAAAAGTATAATAATCGAGTTATAGAGGAAACCGCCTTGGGTGGAACACCCTGTATACGACAAGTGCAAATTTTCAGTCATATCATAGATTTTATGTGCTGGAGTCTTTCGGAGTTTCGTCCGTTTTTCCCTCCTCATTGTCACATCGGTGTATCTCCACGTTTACAATATTTTCGTTAACGGCGCCATTGATGCTAGTACCCGCACTTTGGGGGCCATTTTCTTGATGAGTTTGCAAATTATTAGAGTTAGAGGGGGTGCAATCAGTCGAGGGGCCCTCTCCAGTCGCGTTATTTTCGTTATTTTTTCTTATGATAACGCTGTAACTGGGCGGGGGACCGTAAAGGGCCATTTTCGAACTGTTACTGTATTTTACCACGGAATGGTAACTCGGAGGGTCAGACCCCAAAGCAGGACCTTCAAGAATAGTTTATATACGTCACAAACAGGGTAGCCCGCAATTAATTCAAGTTTTTTTTTTACGAAACTTACGATTTCTAAGTGAAACCAAAAGTCTGTCTAATATTACGCTGGTGTCGAGAGTTTCATGTTCGATATTGCGACACAAATTTGGGTTTCTGTTTACTTGTTGTCTGTGACGGTTGATCGAGGACGAGGGACATGTCCGGAAATGGGCGGATCGCCTTGGGTAGGGCGCTTCGTACGATGGTAATGATATGGTACGAGAATTGGGTGATTGACTTGCAGTACATTTAGGATGCTGACACAGCCAACTACCACCAATTAATATAATTAACAGAACTATAAGGAAAACGCTTCAAAAAGTTTTTTTAATTAGTAAAAGCTTGTTGGTTTTTAATTGAAAGATAACAGTTTTACCAGTATTCCCATAACGGGAATCTACCGAAAGAACTCGACGGGCAACAACCATTATCACAGCAATTTTCGTCTTGATAACAATAATACAGACGGGTAGTTAGCATGTAAGCAGGAAATTTGCAATATTTCAAGCTTTCCTACAACAGTCCGTTATTAAAATTTTTTATTTGTTATTTCCACAAAATTTACAGTATTGTTTGTTTCTAACACTAAAGCCATTGTAAAATCTACCATTATCGTATCAATAACATATTAAACCATTGACTGATTATATTTATAAATCAAACATCATAACTGTCAATTTTTGAAAACAAAAAACTAGTCTTTTTGACGTTAATTATCCCTGGTAATAATAAAATAATAATAAATATACATCAGGGATTCCCCCTGCTTCTTTGAGGGGGTTAGACTTACGNTAAATAAATATATATTATACGATAAAAGTCTTGTAAAATACGTAACAACATTTCTACATATAGACGAAAAGAATGAAACGAAAATTAAAAAAAAAATGCACCTACTTACTGTTTACTATTTTGTACAAATTGGGTAAATAGGTATGTAATAATAAAAAAAATTGTTTAACGACGGGTCCCAAATTTGTACAGAAAAAAAATAATTGCGATGAAAAATATCCTCACCATCTTGTTTGTTCATGTAACTAAATACCTTTTTATAAAATGAAATCTTAAAAAATTCCAATAAGCAATACGTATTTTTTCTATTTTCGTAGACAAATGTGTAATTAAGCATGTAGACAATAACTAACTGCAATAATAATTACACTGATAAGTACAAGGTACAAATGAACATTGTTATCCTAGCTTATATTTTTTTTGTTTAAAAATAGACTAGACATAAAATGTATCATATAATAATATAAATATTTGTATCGTCATTAGGGGGTCATCTAGAAGTCGTCGATTTTATCGATATCTAATAACAAAGTTACCAGATAACTCAAAACAGGGGGCAGACTTTAAAACAAAAAAATAGCACAGAGTCGAATCGTTTTTAATATGAAAATTTTATACGTATTAGAAGCAAAAACAGGAGGACTAAAAAGGATCTTGTGATGATGATAATAAAGTCTAAAATAACTTAAAAACTAGAAGAATTTTTGTGGGGTTTTTAATACATTGAAGTGAAATAATTTTTACCACTTCAGATAACCCCAAATTAAAGATAAAAAAAATGTTGCCGCTGTCACGCCCTCGCCGGGAATCGAACCCTACTTTACGTATCAAGTGACAGTAACAACAATGACTATTCTGCCTAACTACCGTAGGCCACAGGATCGTGTTAGTTAAATTAAATCAAAAATGGATGCATTTTTTGATTTTGCCTCTCTGCAATATATGTAATTACAAAATTAAGAACAGCAACGTTAATTCTAAGTGACCCCCGCGTCCTCATCACACAATATCACACCTAAATTTCTTAAAATCAATGACCCCTAACAATGACCTCTACCTATCGTTTCCACGATATGCATATAGAACAAACATGTATCTTCTAACACTCGTTTCTTCAATATTACAGCCTTTCTTTCCATATTACCGAAAAAGTTGGAATTTTCAGAACCACAAAGCCCCTTGTCCCACCCCGCCCGTAGGAACATTTTGGTACAGGTACCCCACGGATTCCAACTTGTAAATGGTCGTGGTAGCATACTTACCTTCATCACAAATCTTTTTCTTCCATCACAAACTCAATGGCACCATCACAACGATAATAAATCGCTACTTTCAACACATTTACTCAAGTACTTACAAAAGTTGTAACTATTTATCACATTTACCATACCTCGCACTTGTCTTTGGGGTTCATGGGACTCCCCGACTTGCACTGGAACACGTCACTGAACTCCTTCAGGTTCGACAGCGATCCTATCACCCTGTATTTGGCCGGAGAGTGTTGGTCCTTCTCTATTTGCAACATGGTGGCCTCCTTCGTCACCGAAGAACACCAAACTTGGGCAAAAGCCAGAAAGAACAACTGTTTGTGGGTCATGTTTAGTCCAGGTAACGGAGGTGGTTCGGTTTTCGATTTGGACAGGTCGAGGAAGGCGTGATAGGCTGCTTTTAGTCCACCGTTATCGGCAATATTTTCTCCAAGGGTGTTGTTTCCATTGAGGTTCTTTCCATTCATTTTGTATCGACCTATTACCACAATTATTACTATGATTAAAACAACAAAATGGCCAAATTACTAACTGTATTGTTGTGCAACGCACTGGGTCCTCTCTTTGAACTTCTCGATGGTCCTGTTGTTCCACCATTTGTGCAGGTTGCCGTCTTTGTCGTATTCCCGTCCTTGGTCGTCGAAACCGTGGGTCAGTTCGTGACCCATGACGACCCCAATCGCCCCGAAGTTCAAACTAGGTGGATACGTAGAGCTGTAGAAAGGCTTCTGGAGGATTCCGGCCGGGAAGACCATCTGGTTTTTGGACGGGGTGTAGTAAGCGTTTACAGTGTAAGGGGGCATACCTGAACGATAAATATTTCCGAATTTAGAACACCGCCTGCTTGTTGGCGATAAAAAATTGCTTACTCCAAGTGGTCCGGTTAACTGGTTCGTTTAGTTTTTCGTGATTCTTCCTGAACGTGTATTGAATCAGATTGATGTTGTTTTCGAAATAGGTGTCGACTCGAATAACTAAATCGGCGAATTTTTCGTCCAACTGATTACTGTCCAACACAAAATCAGGATAACCTAACAGTGAAAACGTTATTTTTAGTAGTAGAGTGATTATATGATCTTTAGAAAATCCTCACCGATCATGTCGCTGACAGCATCGGCTTTTATTTCGGCAGCCTTCCGTGTTTCGGCGTCCATCCATTTCAAATTTTTGAAATTATTCTTGAAGGCTGTTCTCACTTCGTTTATCATCACTTCCGCTTGTTCCTTCGAATCTTTATGAAACACCTCCCTTACGAAAATAGCTCCAATGGCGAACCCTGTAAGAATTGCAGAACGATTTAAACTTGGTATCCGACTACCCAAGTGGTAGTACAAATACCTAACATGTTGTTGGTGTCTGTTACGCAATATCTCCATTGGGGTTCTTCACCCCCTTCGGACCCTATCAGGGCCTTTCTCAGGCCTTTGTATGCATCCCTGAAAGCTTTTGACAGACACCCCGTAAACGTTCTCACCACCTGCCACACCAAATAATTGTTGATTATTCTACAAACGAAAAAACAACGAAAATAAAGTTTCGACAATAATATTTTTTTGTGAGGTTACATTTTCCCTTCCGTGGTGTTCTCGTATCTTTTGATTAACGCCGACAAGTTTCCTAGATATTGAGGCGCGTATACGACCACTTTTTCTTTGTCGGTCAGTTTTTCCTTTTTCACTTTTCGCAGGGCGTCCCAGAAGAAGTTCCTCCAGTCTATCTGAAATTAAATTAACTAACTGAGATGGACGTGGCAGGAACCGGTGACGAAATTTTTACAAAATCTGCTTTATCCTGTAGTTCTGCGATCGTCATTAGATGGTACATGCTCTCCTCGTCCCTCCTCAATTCATCGGGTGTCGTAATGTTAGCAAGTTGAGTTTCAAACTCCAAGACCGCTCTCATACTTTTTTCTGTCTCGTTATGGTCACCACCAAGCAACACTCCTACCTAAAAAAACGGTCCCCCGCAATCTTACAAATAGTTTTACCCCCAGGGCGAAATTTAGATCTTTCTGTACCTTTGTCATGTATTCCAAACAGGCCTTGAGGATTTTTAAATGTTCTTTCGTCTTGTTCAGATAATGGTCCCTTGTGGGAAGCGTGAGACCACTCTGGTCTATTTGTAAAATATGTCTGGATGAATTCCTATCATCTTCTCCCACCAAGTACGAGAATAGGGCTCCTATGTTGTATTTGTTTTGTAATATTTGCATAGCGTTTTGTAGGGTCCAAGAAGACACATTAAAATTACTGTTCGTTATGTTCCAACCGCCTAGTTTTTTGATTAGGTTTACCAAAGGTTTTGCGCCCAATTCTTCTATGGTATCGTTTACGTCCAAACACGATTCGTAATAGAGTTTGGCCTTTTGTTCTGCTTTTGATTTCAAATTCCCGATTGGCTGCTCTAAAAGTAGCGAACAAAGTGAATAAAGTACTTGGAAAAAGTTTCGACCATTCGCTAACTTAATAAGCGCGTTTGGTCGCTGTTTCTGCTGTCACCTCTCGTAGCTTAGTCGTTAGAGCAGTGACGCTAAAAGCGAAAGGTCCGGGGTTCGATTCCCGACGAGGACGTGACAACAGCAACAGTTTTTACTCATCATTAACTTGAAATAATCGGTAGAGTGAATGGAATATAAAATAAAGTACAACAAAATAGGAGTTTACTTCATTTTACATTGCCTTCAAACTGAAAATACCTAGCACGTGTTTGATGACCAACTGGTTCTCCTGAATGAGTTTCATGAATGTGTCACCGGTGCTTTTTCCTTCTGGAATCGGATTGTTTTTTATCCATCCATTACACGCGTACGAATAAAAATCTTCGCATGGATCAACACTGTCGTCCATGGATTGCAACATAATATTCGCAATGTGTACGCAACTTTTGGTCAGGCAAGGGGTCGTACCACGATTTGAACTTTCAACGTCTATAATCTAATAAAACAGACCGTCACCCTCTTGGTCTACTAATATTCCATTTTTTTCTCGTTTTACTCACCCTACTTTCTTGTATGGTTTTATCTGCCGAGCTCAACAAGAAGGCCAAAACAATTACGACAAACAAAAGGGTTCCTACCAAAATCAAAAGCGATTTTTCTAGGAGTGATCGACGATGCCACATACTACTTCCCGTATGGTATCGGATTGCACTGTTTCCTATACCTACAGGGTGGTAACAAAAAGCAATACCAATAAGATGTTTTTTTTATATATTGTTTTTGTAATTTCACCTTCTGTTAGATGGACACTTCCTATACTGGTGTCATCGTCGGTAAAATCTGCGTGCTCGTATTTTGTCATCTACAGATCGAGAAAAAAAAATTAGCAGGGTCGATTGTATAACTTAGACATACACATAGACGTTCTAATCATTCTCTAACGAAATCGCCTTTTTTAAAGTGGTGATGTGACTGTGAAATATTTCGGATAGGTATATAAACGACAAAGCATAAGTTTACCTAATTAATTTTCGTACTTTTAGCACATCATACAATTGGTAAATACATATATTAAACATCGTAGTATACAAGGTGTTTCTGAAATAAATAGCAAGTGTTGAAAGGTGTTAAGGAACAAAAGAATTTGTGAGAAAATCAGACTAAGTTGTAATCCGAAGCCGGCCCTGGGCGTGAATTGGTAACATACAGACACATTGCGATTGTTTCAGAATAACAAAGAACTTTCTGAACTATTTTAAATTATAATCAATTAATTAATAAGTCGTTATAGATACTTTACAAATAAAACGAACGATGTATTAATAATGTAATTAATTTTCTCAATTAATTTATAATTAAATTTTGTTGTCCCTGTTATATAAAGTAATCAGTCGGTCCGATGGCACAAAATCGACTTAATAATCGTTTTCAAGAAGTCTTGCACGTGTTCTATACCTAACGATATGTTTACAAGTTGTTATGATGGATCAATTAGCATTGTTTGCCTGTGGCATTGTAAAAAAGACAATTTAGATGAGGACAATTCGCAAAAATTCAACCGCAAAATGAAAATCATATTATCGATACCGTGTAAATTAACGTTTCTCCATTTTGAATGTCAATTTCACTAATTTAGAAACGATGGTACTAATAATTGTTATGCTTTTTCGGATTTAGTGCTAAAAAGAAAATTTTCCGATGCTTCATCATTTAACATTTGAAACTACAATCGCCAAGATTGAACGAATATAAATGGTAGTTTTCGCACAAATAATCCAATATTAGGTATTTTGCACATTATAATGGTTTATTTAACTACGATATTATAACTGTTTGCCCAACGTCTAATTAACTTAACTATTCGAGTATTTTACATAGTAAACATAATTATAATTGCGAATTTCCGATGACGCTGCTTCAAACTAAATTGTGATTAATGAATCTAACACACACAAAATCAGGCGTACTTACTAGAAAAGGCGCTTTTTAGCAACCACCTTATAGATCTGATTTGACTCATACTTATAAAACTAGGAAAAAGTTGTTTCTACTCGAATTATCTCAAACTTATTTTTGTTAAGTATTTACTTACTTAAAATACTCGACAGACAGTAAATGTTTAATTGTTTTTCTTTACTTAAGACAGACATTACCCGCCTGTTTTTAGACAATTTAAAACTTTCAAACAATTTTATATATTCCTGTTTTATAATTAGACCTTTAAGAAACCACAAAAAGCAAAATTAGACTACAACTAAACAGTAAATAATCTAAAACAGAGTATAAACATGCATTTTCACTCTATAGATGTTGCGCACAAGACAGACATTCATTTGCGTCACGCAGAATTCTTATTGAATATTTATATATTAAGTATAAACTAAATTTCCTTTAAATATATAAAGTTTCGTTAGCAAGTACTGTTTTAATACAGCAAAATAAATAATTGTAAACAAACATGGATGGAAACAATTGCAGCTAGAACTAAAAGAATAAAAAAAAAAAACAGAAAGACAAAGACTGTACCTCTTTCTTTCACGCACAATTTGACAGTGAGATTAAACTTTTTTAAAAATAGAACGCCAGTTGATATGACCTTCTTATAGTCTACCAATTTAGACGATATTGTTATTTATTGGAACCACATTTGTTTTAATCTGATCGGGAAGCCACGGAAAACTAATTCAAACCACAAAATGTATATAGCATATCAGTCGTCGAATTATATAAAATAACCATATACAAAAGCACATACATCTACAGGTAGGGCAAAATACGAGGGTGGATTGATAAGTTTCCGGCCTAACCAAGAGATGACGCCACTAGGCCTACCTTGAGGTGACATTCTATAGTACCATCCTTGGATAGCTTGTAGCTATAGTTTCAGCCCGATCTCCTTGCTAGTGTAGGTTTGACAGCACGCTGAACA